GGGACACAGCTGCTGCCAGGATCCTCTGAGTAGTGAGTGTGTTTGAGGCTTCAGCTGGGATCCTAGTTGAGAAAGTGACCAGGGTCAAGATCCCAGAATGATTGGTTTTTGGTGTGAATGAACCATAAGCAAATATCACACTATTACCCGGTGTTGAGCTACTGTGCCTTAAACTCTGCCTAAAAGATAATTGCATGATTTTATAGGAGTTATTTAACCACTCTTGTGTACAAGTGCTTGTCTATAAAATGCAGTGCTAGTTTTCATGGTATCTTTGCACCCCTCCCAGTTACAAAATCGTAATTCTGTTCCTGAGGCTTATTGCTGGTGGAAGGAATAGCAGGGAGTGGCTGTGTGCTCTGTATCAGGTTGTCCAAACGTCTTTAACCTCTGTGCTCATGTGCAACATATGAATCATAGCAATTCATGGCATTCTATATTTCAAGGTTGTGAGTAAAAATGAGAGAACTGACATAAAGATGCCCTAATGTAAAAAAATGTATCAGGATGGGACATTCTTCTCATGTTTGATGATATGGTCAGTTTATTCCCATCTCCCTGACAGCATGGAGGATTCCTTTATATGTGCAATCACATATTGGAGATCATGCTTTAATTCACCATACTTTTTTTCTTTTTCTTTTTTAAAATTGCTTATTTATTTGTTATACATGACAGCAGAATGCATTTCAATACACATACAGAGCACAATTTTTCATGTCTCTGGTTGTACACAAAGTAGAGGCACACCATTTGTGTCTTCATACATGTAATTAGGTTAATGATGTCCATCTCATTCCGCCATCTTTTCTACCCTCAAGCCCTCTCCTTTCCCTTCCCTCCCCTTTGCCCTACTAAAGTTCCTTTATTCCTCTCAGGCTTCCCCCTGACCCCCCTCCCCCATTATAGATCAGCATCCTCATATCAGAGAAAACATTCAACCTTTGGTTTTTGGGGATTGGGTTATTTCACTTAGCATGATATTCTTTAACTTCATCCATTTACCTGCAAATGCCATGTCATCACACTTTTTAACCATGATTGGCATATGGTGTATGTGACTTCAGTAATTTTTTTTTAAATTTAATTTTATTTTTTCTAAGTGGTCTCACTATGTTGCCCAGTCTGGTCTCCAGCTCATGGGCCCACCCTCCTTTGTAGCTGGAACTGTAGGTGCACCACTACTCCTGGCCTAATAAATACTACTTTAATCTTTAAGGTCTGCAGTGCTTTCCCTGCTCTCATGGATTTTCTCCCAGGGAGTCACAACAAAGTATTTAAAAATTTTGCTTACATAAAAAGTTATGTTTTGGAACAAGTAAAAGATCACCAAGAATCCTTGGACATAGACAATCCCCGGGACTTCATTGATTGCTTCCTGATCAAAATGAAACAGGTAAAATGTTATTTGTTTGCTTATACTTTGTGCTTCTTTCATTAATAATTTCTTTACTTATTGGGAATATAATTGATCAGGCAAGAAACATTTGGTAAACATTTAAGTGCCTAGTGCATGCATGGATCTGGACYAAACCTCTTGGAAGATTTAAAATTGAATTCTTAAATTCAGTTAGAATACATGGRCACTGTTTTTAGGCACTAATAAACTGGGGAAAAACAGATCATATGCCTCTGGTGAAATGGAAATATGAACCCATTAGAAAATACAGAATACCAAGCCATAAAATAAAAGTAGACACAACCTATCACACAGAATGTGGGAGAATAAGCAGAAAGAACTTAACCTATGTGGTCTTCTTGCTTGTCTTGAGGTTTGATGTAGATCTTCAAGTATTTGCTGAGAGAAATAGGGGAGGGGATTTCAGAGGAAAGGTTCAAATGTGTGTGGTGGTGCAGATGGAGGAAAGAAGTCTGAGGTAAGTGTAACCAGAAATGAATTTGGGTAGATAAGGAGGTAGAAATTTCTTTCAAGTACTCTGAAAACCTGAACATTGGCMTGGAGTGGGATTTGATCAGGTATATGTATAAGCCAGCTATGAGATTTTTTCACCTCTTTGGACTTCGTCAGTTTGAAGATCATGAAACAAAATCAAGTCTTCACTTTTGTCATATTCTACAGCTCTACAGAAATGAGTTTTAGGTAGAGGAGCAGATGAGAGGCAAATGATAGGTTCTGTATGGAAAGCTGCAGTGGTGAGAACTGTGATGCTGTTTGGTAATTTTCATGTACATTAACAGTGTGCAAGGGTTCTATTTTCTCCACATCTTCACCAGCTCTATTATTACTCTGAAGTAATTTGACTTTTTTTTTTGCCATTCTAAGTGGAGTGAGCATTTCCCTTATGATTTGTGATGTTGAATATTTTTTTCATATATCTTTTGGCCATTTTTAAGTCTTCTTTTGAGAAGAGTTTATTCATATCTTTTGTTCATTTGTAAATAGTGTTATTTATTTTCTTGCTATTGAGTAATTTGAGTTCCTTATATATTTAGGATATTAGCCCCTCCTCATTTGCAAATACTTTCTGCTGATCTGTAGATTGTCTCTTCACTGTGATAATTGTTTCCTTTGAGGTGCAGACACTTTTAGTTTGAGGAAATCACATTTACTATTTTAGCTCTCATTGCCTGTGGTKTTGTGGTTACATCTGAGAAATCACCTCCCAGACCAGTGACATGGAGGTTTTTCCCTCTGGTAGTTTTTTAGTATCATGTCTCACAATGAAGTCTTTAATGAATTTTGAGCCAAGTCTTATACAAGGATTGAGGTAATGGTCRAATTTTATTCTTGGGTACGGGTACGTGGATACCCAGTTTCCACGTTAACATTTATTGAAGAGCTTGCCCATTTCTCATTCCTTTTGTTACTGTTTTGCTTTCTTGATCTTAGAGGCAATGCCTCCAACTTTGCAGTGGTGAATATGATGTTTGCTGTAGGCTTGTCATATATATTTTTATATTTAGAATTTCAGGGTAAGTATCCATTGATAAGCAYGTCCCTCACCCCAGAATTTTGAATATATATACATATATCAATCTTTRTCCTATAAGATTTTTGCTGAAAATAATTAATTCACTGAGAATCTCATTATAATTCCCTTCTATGTTATAAGTCATCTTTACCTTGCTGCCTGGAAAATCCTCTGCATTAAACTTTTGGCAATTTGACTATTATGTGTGTTGTGTGGTTTTCTTTGGATTCATCTTATTTGGTGTCCCCTGAACTTCCCAAACCTGGATTTCTAATTCTTTTTCCAGGCTTGGGAAATTGTTATATATATTTTGATAGGTTTTTTTGCTTCTTTCAATCTCTGTCCTGGCATGACAATATTACTTATGTTGTTCCACTTGATTGTGTTCTTGATGTCCTTAAGCTGTCTTCACTCTTTGTCATTCTTTTTTTTTCTTCTTCTCAGATTGGCAGCAACCTACATTTGAATTTACTGATCCTTTCTTCTGCTTGATCTATTTTGCTGTCGAATTCCTCTGTTGAATTTTTCAGTTCAGTTATAGCATTCTCCATCACTATAATTTCTTTTTGGCACTGTTTTCTATTTTCTATAGTTGTTGAGAAATATATTTTCTGTAATTTGCTGAMATTCTCAGTTTGTTCTTTTTATTTATTTATTTTTAATTGTTCTTCTTAGTTACACATGACAGCAGAATCCATTTTGATAAAATTATACAAGCATGGGATATATCTTATTCTAATTAGGAACCCATTCTTATGGTTGGGCAAGATGGTGGGGTTTACTTAGGCGTTTTCATATGTATATATTGGAAAATTATTTTAGATTTTTTCTACTGTCTTTCCTATTCCTATCCCCGCTCCCTTCCTTTTATTCCCCTTTGTCAGTTTCTTCTTTCATTGCTCTCCCTCAGTAAGCATTTTATGACAATTATTTTGAATTCTCTTGTCAGGCAAATGACATCTCCATTTTGCTAAGGTTGGATTTTGAAGGTTTATCTTATGCAGGCCATATGTCCCTATTTCTCAATTTTTCTTGACCTTCTCTGATGGTTTCTGCACATTATATAAAACAACTGCCTCTCCTGGTCTTTAAGACTATCTTCTAGTAGGAGAAGGATCTCACTAGTTTAGCTGTAGATAAACTGTGACTCTCAAATATTTGTATTTGTTTGAACTGCTGTGTCTGTTTTTTCAGCCCTTTGAGATTATAGGATTTGCCATGTCCTGTCAGTACCACAAGATAGTTAAGGAAGAATTCACCCTCTCTACATATAGTTGAAAAGTTTGGGATGWTAGAAAAGTCTTCCAATTCCCTGTATCCTCACAATGAATCTGAGAATGTGTGTGAATCTCCTACTTTCTTTCTATCCACCATGCCATGGAGAGTTTCTGTGGTCGATACCTGAGATACCTGAACTCACATTCCAACTACTCTCTCTGATCTTGTGAAGATAGCTTCTGGAATTGTTCCTGTTGTTTGTCCACCTTCTGGGATCTAAGGATTTTTTTTTAAAGAGAGAGTGAGAGAGAGAGAGAGAGAGGGAGAGAGAGAGAATTTTAATATTTATTTTTTAGTTATCGGCGGACACAACATCTTCTTTGTTTTTGTATGTGGTGCTGAGGATCGAACCTGGGCTGCACGCCTGCCAGGAGAGCGCGCTACCGCTTGAGCCACATCCCCAGCCCAATCTAAGGATTTTGCAAGTCCCATCAACTCCCCAAGCTAGGTGGTTAATGATGCAGGGCTGTACAGATTTTGGCACTCAGTGTAGAAACAAGCTTCTTTCAAGTTGAATAGGTACACTGAAATTATCACTTTGGGTGCCTTTGGAGAAAGCTTAGGAAGTGCCAAACTCATGCTCATGCTGCCAGGGATTTGTTTGTTGGCCTAGTAAACTTCCTAATAATTAGTAGCTTATGTGGGAGCAGAAGCAGTTGGTGGAGTATGCTAGTAAATTCTTTTCAGGGAGAAACCATGGCCTTTGTATTTTATTTCCTTCTCTGCCATGGATATTGAAGCCCGTGAGGATGCTTGCAGGCTTTTGTCAAATAGCCAAAATTTCGTAGTCTAGAGAAACGTGGGTGCATATTAGTGGAGACACTGACTTCCTCAACAAGACCCCTAAAACTCAAGAAATAAAACCAACAATCAGTAAGTGGGATGTCATCAAGTTAAAAACCTTGGGCATAAGCAAAGGAAATGATTAAGAACATAAAGAGAGAGCCTATGAAATAGGAGAAAACTTTTACTTGCTATTCCTCTGATAGGTGATTAATATCCAGACTAAGTAAAGAACTCAAAAGCATAACACCAAAACAAAACCAAAACCAAAAATAAAACAGAACAACAAAACCCAGAAAAACAAATAACCAAACCAAGAAGTGGGCAAAGACATTTCTCAAAATAAGAAATACAAATGGCCAACAAATATATGAAAATATGTTCATCATCTCTAGCAATCAAATCAAATAACATTCAGACTTCATTTCACTCCAGTCAGAATTGCAATTACCCAGGACACAAACATGATATATGCAGGAAAGAATGTGGGGAAAAAGGTCCATTCTTACATTGTTGGTGGGACTGAAAATCAGTATAGCCAGTCTGGAAAGCAGTGTGCAGATTCCTCAAAAAACTCCATATGGTGGAGTAAAGAAGGGAGGGAAGAGGAACAGGAATGGGAGACAATGCAGAATGAATTGAGCAAAAATCATGCTGTGCCTATGTGTAAGTATACTGCAGTGAATTTCCTGTATGTGTATCTATAAAGCACCRATAAAAATAGATAAATAAACAAATTAAAGGAAGATGAGTAGAGAAAGAAGAATGAGGTAGGAGGGGAGAAAAATGTGGGGAGACTGAGGTCTGAAACACAGTAAATTAAACTCCATGCATGTATGATTTTGTCAAACCAACCCAACTATTATGTATAACTATAWTGCACTAATAAAAGAAAAAAATATAAAATGCATGTAAAAATGTAAAAAATACCCTCAAACATGGATGCATGCTCCGCCTTTATTCCCAGAGTTGGTGAAGAGACAAACCATGGGGAATTTTTGAGTTAGGGTGTAATAACTGTGGTCCAATCCCTCCTCTCCTTAGGGAAAATCTGAGTGGTTCAAGATTGTGTGGTTTTAGTCCTTAGGGTGGGGTCACTGCCCAAAAATCTTGTGGCTTTTACATCTCATTTTGTGTGGATGTTTTCTCTGATGACAACTGTATAAGACTTTCTCAACTGATTTCTTTCTCTGAGAGGGAATTGATTTGTGTAGCGGTGCATTCAGGGGTGGAGGGAGGGGCAAGTCTCTTATTCAGCTTTGTGGCTCATGTTGTGCTCTAAAAACTGTAATCTTTCACTTTTTTTTTTTTTGTACCAGGGATTGAACCCAGGGGTGCTTAGCCACTGAACCACATTCCTAGTCAATTTAAAAAATATTTTCAGTTGTAGATGGACATAAGAACTGTATTTATTTATTTTTTTTAATGTGGTGCTGAGGATCAAACCCAATGCTTCACATGTGCTAAGCAAGTGTGCTACCACTGAGCCACAACCCCAGCCCCACCCCCTAGCCCTTTTTATATTTTATTTTTGAGACAGGATCTTGCTAAGTTACTTAGGGTCTCACTGCATTGCTGAGGCTGTCTTTGAACTCACCATCCTCTTGCTTCAGCCTTCCAAATTGCTGGGATTATAGGCATGTGCCCCTGCGCCCAACTAAAAACTGCAAACTCTTGATTATGACTCATAATATTCTACAAAATTTGGCTCTGATTTATCTTTTTGTATCAGTTAAGATTCTGTGTGTAAATAACAAAGAAAAAATTAACAATGGATTAAAAAATACTATGCATATCTCATATACAGAGAGTATCTATTGTTGTCCAGAGCCAATACAATAGCCCTGAATCATCAAGAACTTATGTGCCTGCCATTATTCATCACCATACTTGTTGTATGAGCCTTTGCATTGAAGCTGAAATACTCATGTTCCCAAGTATTGCCTGTACCCACTCCATTGTCACATATGTGTTTTAGTAAGAAGGAAAGAGAAAATCATACCAGCAGATTCCTTCTCTTATGTCTTTGACATCAAATATGTATTATGACCAACATATCTGCAATAAAATCTGGGCAATGGAATTTTAAGGCAAACAAGAAATAAGGGTTATAAAAAATGAAATTTGGGTCAACTAATTCACATTCTCTGCTATACTATTCAGTTGTATGCACAATATACTTTCTATTTCTAAATATGCTTATTTTTGGAATAACCTGTGTTATTTTGAATTTATTGTAATTCAATATGATGGTAGCTATTTAATAATTAAATAATCAAATATTCCTAGGAGAAGCAAAATCAACAGTCTGAGTTTACTATTGAAAGCTTGTTGGCTACTGTAACTGACATGTTTGTAGCTGGAACAGAAACAACAAGTACCACCCTGAGATATGGACTACTGCTCCTGCTGAAGCACCAAGAAATTACAGGTATGAGCACAGTTTTCCTCTTAGAGAAACTTAATTATCAAAACGTGTGGGCTATGAGATATAATTTTTACTAATGTCACAAGGGAATAACAATGAGACAAAATTGGAAAATAGAAGAAAATGAATGAGAGAAAAGTGTTTGTATTTTAGTGAAAAAATACTCTGGATGAAGAGTTTGGATGTCATGGGAGGGAATTTTCAGCAGGCACAGGCATCCTTGTATATTGGTTTTCTAGAGAACGGACCACTTTGAATAATAGATGTGTTCTTAAAGATCTTTATTCTGAAACAGTGGTGTTCTGATATGGGGTCAGGGAAGATGGAAACTATTTGTTGAAGCATAGTAAATAGTCTGGAAATTTGGTAGATGGCTTGAGAAATTTTCCAGATTCTGAGAAGTATTTTAATAGCTCCTATTTATAAGAAAGAGATGTTATTTAGGCAAAATATGTGCCTAATGCATTTTATTATTCTAGAAGTCTGAGTCTAGATAAATACTTGCCAAGAAGAGAATTTTTTTTCTGAGTATTAATAGCTTTCTCTTTTACAAGCAACTTTAATTTTTTAAAAAAAAATTTTACCTCTAAGCAGATTCTGTTAATAAACATATATTTTTCCCTGGGTCAGAGTTCCATTGAGATGATAATAAATTAATCACAAATGAGAATTGCTTCTATGTAAGTTGAAGAGTGTAGAAATTAGCAGTAAATCTTTATAAAACTTTGGAAGGAAACAGAACACAGGAACAGGAGGTGACTAATTAGGCAGAATGATTGAAATTGTACCCTGAATGTCATAATAGGAAGATTTAACATGGATGAACAGGTCAATTTGGGTCCCTACAACTTCCATAAGGCTCAGTATATTTCAGAACCAAGTGTCAAAGAAATAGAGGGAGGACAAATCAGAAACAGAAGGTCTCCCTGCCCAGGTTCCCTCCACCTCACCATTTATCAGATAACTTCTCCTAGAGGAAAGATGATCACTCTCTAGAATAACTGAGTCTAAGGGCCCAGCACTCAGGAACACAGACACTGGGAAAGAATGGAGTGCAGGGCTGGAGGAAGGTTAAGTAACAGTTCACTCAAATTCTGAGAACCTTACCTCCTTCTCCATCTTATTCATGCTTCAGCAGCCAGGTCTAAACTCTAGAGAATGAGTAGTGCCAATGGAAAGACCTCCATTTTTTTTCCATCTAGAAAAAATTCACAACAAATGTCCAGAGAAATAAATAAAATGAAGACATTCACCCAAAGACACAGGATTATGGAATTTCAGAAAACCAGGCATAAATTAGAAATTACCAATACTTTCAGGGATAAATAAGTTATATATGAAGATTAAGAATCAGAATGATAGTAGAATTCTGAATAGCAAATGTCCTCTGTGCATTCATAGACAAAAAATATTTTCATGCCTATAAGTTGGCAAAATTTTACTTCTTGTCTTTACTTTCTCAGAAAGATACTAAAGGATGTGCTCTATCCAAATGTCTGAAACCAAGTCAGAGTAAGTCATAGGTTCCAGGAATCAGGAGAGGTCAAAGATATTTACTTGTAAATATCTTTCTTTCTTCCTTTCTTTATTTTTTAAAGTTTATTTTTAAATTTTAACTTTTTATATATGACAGAAGAATGCATTACAATTTACATTATACATATAGAGCACAATTTTTCATATCTCTGGTTGTACACAAAGTAGAGGTCAATGAGAGAGTCCTTGTTGCTGGGCACCTGTCCTGGAATGGGTCAGGTGGATAATGCAGGTATTAGAGAAGACACCAAGAACCAAAGAAACGTGAGTGATCGTTTGATGATTTTAGTAATGAGAAAATTATTACTAGAAATCTGAAACATACATGAAAATTTGCCGTAATTCTAAATTGGCATCTAAAAGTTAGGAATTAAAATAGACACTTTTTTTTTAAGTCCAAGACTGTTTTGCTTCACAAAAGCTGAAGCACAATTATAATTGTTTTACTTGTAAATGATATTTCTTCCTTTCTTTATTTTTTATTTGTTTTTAAAATTTTAATTTGTTATATATAACAGCAGAATGCATTACAATTCATATTACACAGAGTATAATTTTTCATATTTTTGGTTGTACACAGAGTAGAATCACACCACTTGTGTCTTCATACATGTACTTAGGGTAATGATGTCCATCTCTCACCATACACAAAACTCAACTCAAAGCGGATCAAGGACCTAGAAATTAAACCAGAGGCACTGTGCTTAGTAGAAGAAAAATTAGGCCTAAATCTCCATCATGTCAGATTAGGCCAGACTTCCTAAATAAGACTCCTCTAGTGCAAGAATTAAAATCAAGAATCAATAAATGGGATGGCTTTAAACTCAAAAGCTTCCTAGCAAAAGAAACAATCAGTGAGGTGAATAGAGAACCTATATTTTGGGAGCAAGTTTTTACCATATGCATATCAGATAGAGCACTAATCTGTAGGACATATAAAGAACTAAAAAATCTTAACACCAAGAAAATCCATATAACCCAATCAATAAATGGGCCAAGGAACTGAAAGGACACTTCTTAGAAGATGACCTACAATTAATCAAGAAATATATGAAAAATGTTCAACATCTCTAGCAATTAGAGAAATGAAAATCAAAACTATTTTTTTTTCGGTACCAGGATTGAACCCAGGGCAGCTTAACCACTGAGCCACATCCCCAGGCCAGGTTTTTTCATTTTTTATCTTGAGACAGAGCCTTGCTAAGTTGCTGAGACTGGTCTTGAACTTGCAATCCTTTTGCTTCAGCCTCTCAAGCTGCTGATATTATTGATATGTATCACCATGCTCTTCTTACTTGTAAATGATATTTCTAAAGTCATATTAATGTAAACAATGAATACTGACAAAATAATAATTATGATATTATTACATTGGGAAAAAGAGAGCAGGGAAATTTTACCTGTTTGTGTGTGTGTGTGTGTGTGTGTGTGTGTGTGTGTCTTTGTATACTTTGCACAAGGTGATGATGGAGATGTAAGTCCTCATTTCCATTACCAGTAAGTTTTAGATATTGTCTAAAATGATGATCAAGTAATAGAAAGTCATTGTTAATAAAGGTCAGCATAATTTACAGAAAAACTTCTAGAATGTTTCCAAGTAAGTGCCTTTGGGGAGTGTATTTTCATTGCAAGTTGAAAATAAACGTTAATCTTTTCTTCCTGCTCTTCCTCCCTGCTCTGTTCTTAGTTGCTCTCATTATATCAAAGAAGACATTTGGTATTTGTTTTTTAGGGATTGGATAGCTTCACTAAGCATAATCTGCTCTAGTGCCATCCATTTCCCTGCAAATTCCATGATTTTGTCATTTTTTAGTGCTGTGTAATACTCCATGGTGTATAAATGCCACATTTTTTTTTTATCCATTAATCTATTGAAGGGCATCTGGGTTGATTCCACAGTCTAGCAATTGTGAATTGTGCTGCTATGAACATCGATGTGGCAGTATCCCTGTAGTGCACTCTTTTAAGGTCCTCAGGGAATAGTCCGAGAAGGGCAATAGCTGGGTCAAATGGTGGTTCCATTCCCAGCTTTCCCAGTTATCTCCATACTGCTTTCCAAATTGGCCGCACCTGTTTGCAGTCCCACGGAAGGAAAGATTAACACTAAACAGAGACATGAGGTGGGAGGGAAAGGGAGAAAAAAGGGAAATTGCATGGAAATGGAGGGAGACCCTCATTATTATACAAAATTACATATAAGAGGTTGTGAGGGGAATGGGATAATAAACAAGGAGGGAAATGAATTACAGTAGATGTGGTAGAGAGAGAAGATGGGAGGGGAGAGGAGGGGGGATAGTAGAGGATAGGAAAGGTAGCAGAATACAACAGTTACTAATATGGCAGTATGTAAAAATGTGAATGTGTAACCGATGCGATTCTGCAATATGTATTTGGGGTAAAATGGGAGTTCATAACCCACTTGATTCTAATGTATGAAATATGATATGTCAAGAGCTTTGTAATTTTGTGAACAACCAATAAAAAAAGAAAATAAACACACATATACACAGCACAAAAAACCCATGTACACATAGAAATCTGTTAGTGCAATTCAAAATTTAAAATACCTTTTGTTAATTTGATGTGGAATTGATTCTTGTCTTCCATTTTTCTTTTTGTGAGGATAGTGATTTGCATTCATATATACAAGATATTTATATATTGAACTACTTCATTGTTTCTATGTATTGGTTATCCAATACAGTAATGTGTAGATGTGTATAGAATTATATTAATGCAATAAAAGAGAATAAAATTATGGCATTCGCAGGTAAATGGATGGAGTTAGAAATGATAATGCTAAGTGAAGTTAGCCAATCCACCCCCCCAAAAAAACCAAATGCTGAATGTTTTCTTTGATATAAGGAGGCTGACTCATAGTGGGATAGGAAGCGGGAGCATGAGAGGAATGGACGAACTCTAGATAGGGCAGAGGGATTGAGGGGAAGGGAAGGGGCATGGGGTTATTAATGATGGTGGAATGTGATGATCATTATTATCCAAAGTACAGGTATGAAGATATGAATTGGTGTGAATATACTGTGTATACAACCAGAGATATGAAAAATTGTGCTGTACCTGTGTAATAAGAATTGTAATGCATTCCACCATCATATATAAATAAAAAATAAATAAAAAATTAAACAAAGAATTATCTTAGTGCTTAGTTTGTAGGAGCTATATGTATCCACAGCAGAGCAATTTTAAGTGTAGCTGTATTTTATGGGCTTATAATGCTTCATACTTCATGTAGACTTGAATTATTGTGACAAATGTACCATTTTCTCTTACTCTATTATTTCTTGTGTCTTACCAGCTAAAGCCCAGGAAGAGATTGAACATGTGATTGGCAGACACCGGAGCCCCTGTATGCAGGACAGAAGTCACATGCCCTACACAGATGCCGTGGTACATGAAATTCAGAGATATATTAACCTCATACCCAACAATGTGCCCCATGCAGCSACCTGTAGCATTAAATTCAGAAACTACATTATCCCCAAGGTAAGATTGTTTCTATTATTCTGCATCTCAGTGCTCTTAAAGTTCCTGAATTCACAGTATGGTCCCAATCCTCTACCAACACAGGATGAGAGAGGTGAAAAACTCACACTTGTGGCACTTGATGGACTTTGTGCTGTTTACAGTTTGAAACTATAAAGCTTTCCAACACTTCTTGATTGGTGACATCTTCCAAATTTGCTGTACTTCTTTGATAATTTCTTTTGGCAACTCTTAGGTATTTATATCTCCAAATGAAAGTTAAAAGTCCAGATTATTAATTTTCCAAAAAGCTTTTCTGAGATTTTTTTCAGATTTTGTTAATAAAGGTCAACATAATTTACAGAAAAACCTTCTAGTTTTCTAGTTTAATTTAGAAAGCATTGGTGTCTTGACATGTTAATTCTTTCAGTTCATAGATACAATTATGTATCTATATATATATATATAAATTATATATATAAATTAGATTTTATTATTATATTATATATTATTATATTATATATATAATATAATAAAGGCCATATATAATATATATATAATATACAATAAATAAAAAATATAATAAAGTCCATGTATACATTTCTTCTATATGTACTTTGTTCGTTTTTTATCACAAAGGAATGTTAATTTTATCAAGTGCTTTTTCTGCATCTATTGAGATAATACTATGGTTTTTGCCTTTCATTCTGTTGATGTGGGTTTTCACATTTATTAAGTTGAATATGTTGTGCTATATATATCCTTGCACCCCTAGGATGAAACTCAGTTGAGCATGGTGAGTAATATTTTAAAAATATTTTTAATAGATTTTTAAATATTACATATGTCTAACTACATCAGATTGTGACTGTGGGCAAAAAATATCAGTTTGTACCATTATTGGTGATACTAAGATTCAAACTTGCTATGGGGATATCTTCCAGATCTCCCTGTTGTTGAGATGATAAAAAAAGTCCATGGGATATATGTCTGTTTCAGGACTGACAAGGAACCTTTGGAACCTCTAAAATGAGGGAGTGAGAGGTGAAGATGGGTGATCATGAAATGATGCTAGGGAACAAGGATCTGTGGCTGAGAATATCCTTTTCCCCAAATACCGCACCCAGTAGATTTTACATTAATCAATGATCCCTGCCTGGGTTGATGATCTTACCTGAATTGTTGCAAAATAATAACTTTTCCAATTTTGCAATCCTGCTGTGTTTTAAAGAGGATTCATCTGTGATGATGAGTTCCTTCCCACTTTATTCTTTATTCTAATTAGTTGTACATGACAGTAGAATGCATTTTGATGCATCATACATAAGTGGAGTATAACTGCTCACCCTTCTGGTTGTCCTTTCCATTTTAAATCAAAAGGAAAACATTGCATTTCAATGATAAGTACTCAATAGGCATTATTGTACTTGTTAATATCTTCTCAGAAGTCATCTTAAATCAGATCAGCTCTCCCATTTGAAAAAGGCCTATAAACACCAAATTACATAGTTATATTGTGTGCATGTATAAATATGTAACAACAAATTGAACCATTATGTACAACTATAATAAATCAATAAAAACTATGGAAAACAAAGACAAAAAAAGACTTATAAACAGATTCCAAATTCTACTGACATTTTGGGAGGGAGCACAAGCTCTGGTTTTTAATCATAATCCACATACCAGTTGTGTGAATACTGAAGTAGTGAAATGGAGTAACATGTGGAGAAACTTTGTGTCCCAGCTTGGTGCTAAGTAGAGAAATTCAGAAGGTTTTGCACTCAAATTGCAAAGTATTTGATCCTTCAACTGCTAATGCAGTTTTTAATTGGTTTGACTTCCTGGAAATGTCATTGCTTTTCTTTGGACCTGGTTTTCCACATTTATAGATCAAACAGATTGGATTAGGTGACCTACATCACTTCCTCCCATCCTTGAAATTTTTGTAACTTATTTTGTCTGTCTTCTCTTTTCAGGGGACAGACTTAATAACATCACTGACATCTGTCCTGCATGATGACAAAGAATTCCCTAACCCAGAGACTTTTGACCCTGGCCACTTTCTGGATGAGAATGGCAACTTTAAGAAGAGTGACTACTTCATGCCTTTCTCAACAGGTAATAAAGATTTACTTCCACTAGTATTTTAGGGGAATATAATATGACTTTTTTTTTTTTTTTTAAAGAGATGCTGTTGCCCAGTTTGGCTTTGAACTCCTGAACTCCAACCATCCTCCACCTTAGCCTCTGAAGTATCAGGGACTATAGGCATACACCACTACACTCAACTCTGAAACATAAATTCTGAGACCAGTTGGAAATTACGCGGTGCCTCCTTTGGGACTGGTACATTTCTTTTTTATACATCACTAGAAGTTCCCCTTCAATGCCCATGAACTTTCCTTGGTCATGACATATCCTCACTATTGTGCTACATTAGTGGGGCTTTTTGGGGTATCTGACCGGTTTTCCAAATGGAGAAAGCTCACAGTCAAAGTTGGTTGAATTATGCCTCTGGATATACAAACAAGTTACTTAGCTGAAACTTCTAAGCATTTCATTCTTAGAAGTGAAACTCAATAAAACTTTCCTTCCTTGCCATGAGAAAGGTATCTCAGTCCACACCTTAAGTATCTCCTCTGTGGTGTCCCTCACTTCCAAACATTTGCAAATATCCTAGAGGATATAATGGGCTTTTAAGAGTCTCTCTACTGAGTTAGGAAGCAGACAAGCAAACAGATAATTGTCTAGTAGGACTAGCACCTGTGAGAGAGGTAAGCTCAGGTTTCTGGGGAGGCAGAGGGTGAAGTTGCTTGCATTCTGCCTTTTCATACCCTGGCGCATCCTAACAAGGTGAAGTAGAGTTGAGCTAGCTTGTAGGAAGTAGGGAGCAAGGAAAAAAGAGAAAGCAGGGCACTTTACAGAGGTAATGAAGTATAGGAAAGGATGTTTCCTATAGATCTGGGGGGTCAGAACATATCTCCCTAAGTGTAGACTGAGCAAAACCTTGGGAATGTGGAAGAAGAGTCTGCAGTGATTGAAGAGAACCTTTCTCTTCCTCTACTCGTGATCATGCATTTGGGATATTCAGTCTCACTGCTAAATTGTGTGTGTTGAAACTCTAGATAAGGAGTCACCTTCATTTTTTTGTTACGATTTTAGATGGGCCCAGAACTGTCCATATTGAGATGTCAAGGATGAAGCCCTTCTTTTAAGTCTGAGTGACTCATATTTTAGCAAGGTAGAGAATAACAGAACACGGGATTTGAGGTGATCCACGCTGCTGTGGAAGCCTGACTGTGTTGAGGAAATTTAGAGGGTGAGCATCTACTGCCTGAGGAGATCACAAGCATTGTAAAGAGGAAATGACAGGGACATGGGTCCTAATGAAAGCATAAAAGCAGTGCTTCTTAGCCAAATGGGACACCATGAGGGGAAGCTTGAAACTTCATGGTGTGGGAGGATGAAGAGGCTTCTTGCTGGGAGCTGAGAGGAGAGAATGTGAGTTGAGACTGAACATCAGAGAGGGAAAAGAATGTGAGGACCAGGTCAGGCTATTCCTTCCTTGTCTCACGACAGACAAGGAACCTTTGGAACCTCTAAAATGAGGGAGTGAGAGGTGAAGATGGGTGATCATGAAATGATGCTAGGGAACAAGGATCTGTGGCTGAGAATTGTGCCAGAGGTACAAAGCGAACATTCTTCTTGTCCTCTTCCCTTCAGTTGTCTGGGTGGGAAATGTATGTTTTCAGAAAAAGATTCATGTAAACTTGAAATGTCAAAAGTGCAGTTAAATTGTGTGAATGGTTATTAGAGCTGTGGTTGTGGTAATATGTACTATTTGGAGAATGAAGAGTGTCTGATAAGATGAGATGTAGAGCGACTAGCCAATGTCTCCACTTTTCTGTGCATCTGTCTTACCAACCTTCATTCCAAGTGTCCTGTGTCTGATGCAGGCATGTAAGTAATCATTCATCGAATAGTCATGGCATACTTTTTTTTTTTTTTAAGAACCAGGATGGAACCCAGTGGTGCTTACCCACTGAACCACATCCCCAGCCCATTTTAAATTTTGAGACAGGGTTGCATTCTTTTTACAGCATTGCCATACCTAATGTTTAAGGAGGGAAAACTCTGTGTTTGTCATCTTTAGGAAAACGTATGTGTGTGGGAGARGGCCTRGCCCGCATGGAGCTGTTTTTGTTCCTGACCACCATTTTACAGAATTTTAAGCTGAAACCTGTGATTGACCCCAAGGACATCGACACCACCCCCATTGCCAATGCGTTTGGCCGTGTGCCACCTTTGTACCAGCTCTGCTTCATTCCTGTCTGAAGAAGGGTTACTGGCTGCTGCTATGCCATCATCACCTGCCACTTCTCCTCCTTGGAGGCATCATCCCCCCATTCTCTCAGGGATACCTCCTCTCAGCTCTCCCTCACATCCCCATCCCCTCCTGATCCAGGGAACATGCAGCCTTCATTAAGGAAAGTTTCCTGGGTCACTGCATAAATATATCTGCTATTTCCTGTACTCTGTAACTCTTGCATCGACCACCACAGGTTCTAATACTCAGTTACTAACATGTTATCATGGTAAAACAGCACAATAACTAGTCTGTGACAATTCAGAGCCATGAATTCTCTGCATGTTTTGAATAAAAAGTACTGTCGTTGCTGGGTCCATTCTCAGAAATTTGTTGTTGTGCAAAATGCAGAAAGAAAAAAAGTTGGAAAAAAACCACAGTGAGATATCACCTTGCACACATTAGGATGGTTGTTACAAGAGAGAGAGAGAGAATGAGAACAAGGAAACAGGAGTGTTGGTGAGAATATATAGAGATTGGAAGGCCTGCACATATGTGGAGAATGAAAAATGATGCAGCCACTGTGAAACAGAGTACAGTGAGTGGTTCCTAAACAAATTAAAATGGAATGATCATGTAACCTAATAATTGCATTTCTAGGTACATCCCCATGAGAAAGAATAGCAGTGTATCAAAACTATTGTACCCCTGTGTTCAAAGTAGCATTATTCACCATATGCCAAGGGTGGAAGCATTCCTGGTGTTCACTGATGAAGGAGTGCTAAGCAAAATGTGTTTTTTTTGCATACAATAGATATTTTCCACACCATGAATAGAAAGGTAATTTGATACATCCCATGACATAGATGAAACTTGAAGACATTATGCAATATTAGATAAGCCAGTCACAAAAGTATAAATACTGTATTATTCTACTAATATGAGCTATCTAGAATGGGAAAATTCATAGAATATTAAGTGTCTATGGGTTATTATGTGGGTGGTCATCAAGGACAAAAGAAGGCTAAAAACAGCAGTTTATTATTTCTTTATACAAACTTAGTTTTGCAAATTGAAAAATTGTGTGCTAACGTCTTAAAGTGGTAAATTTTTTATTATGCATACTTTAACACAATTCAAAAATCCTACTCCTATTCCAAAAAATTACTAATTACATAATCTAGTGGTATAGTTTGAGTCTGGAACATCCCTCATAAGGTCCATGTGCTCCTAAGTATGTGATTTTATTGGGAGGTGGTAGGAACCTTTAAGAAGTGAAGCCTAGTGGGAGGTCTTAGGTCACTGGGAGTGTGCACTGGAAGGGGATTGGGGGAACCCACGTGAACTTTCTCTTTCCTGCCTTGGGTAGGAGATGAATGATTTTACTCTGTCAAGCCTCCCCAACATGATGTACTGCTATACCACAGTGCTGAAAGCAATGAAAGTAACTGTTCATGGAATGAAATCTCTGAAACTATGAGTCAAACTAAACCTTCTCTCTTTATAAGTTTGTTTTCTTAGGTCAGAAAATTTGTCACAGTAACAGAAAGATGACTAACACATTTAGACTGTAAAGTAGTATGAAAATATTTTAATGATGTTTATTTAATAAAACTGTCCTGAAAGTTATAATATAATCAAGATGCAAGAGAACACTTCTCCAGTCCCACAGCTTTTATCCTGATTTCAAGCCTCTGGCTCAGTGCTTCTACAAGTCCTTTTTCAGTGAAGAGTGAGGAGTCCAGAGGGACCACATGTAGAGGTAAGGTTCCTTAAAAAGTCCTTTATCCTCAGGATCTGACTTGGGTTGCATCAATTGGTTCTAAGATAGTAGGAATGCAGATTCAAATTAAAGACAATCCTTTTGTACCCTAGGCAATAGATTGGGGAATTAATTTGAGGGGCATATTGGCAGCCAAAGGGAGGTCTCAAGAGAGGGATGAAATGCCCTTGTATCTTAGGAGGAGTGTCCTATATCCAGAAATCAGTAACAGATGCTCCCTGAATCTGCTGGTTCATTGGGATCATCAAATGTCCAAGGACTCATACAGGGAAGCTCTTGCTTAATCATAGTTGGGTGATTTTTTTTGTCTTGTGTCTGACATATGCTGTCCTCAGATTCTTTCTGCATCTCAATCTCTCAACCAATAATCATGAGGTTTTAGTTTAGTAACAAAATCTGCCTCAGAGAAGAGAAAATGTTTCTTATGAGCAATTCTTCTAGAATTTGACTCCTTTTCTGTAGATCTTTAACTCTTCATTTTTTTTCCATTCCAATAAGACTTTATTTCCAAAACAGGAGACAGGCAGATTTTATGAAGAACTGGAATTTACCTCCTCCCCACATTGTAGGCAATTATCCAAAGCATATGCATTCTTATTCAAAATGTACCCTTAGTTTATGGCTCAATTACTACATTATAATTAAAAGAATGACTATTATCTTTAATTATATTAATTGTGATCATAGGTTTACATTTTGTTTTAAACTTAATTTTTTATAGCATTCAGATCTCATATAGAACTGACTTCAAACTGTATAAATTCTT